CAATAAGTCAGCTTCGGGAAACTGCAGTGGTTGGTGCTGAGGGATGCTCACCAACCCCATTGTGAAAGTCCCAACAGCTAAGTGTAAAATGGCAAGCACACGTAGTGTCTATGTGATAGGAAAGCTGGATGGCCAAAGGTGCAACTTTGTCATAGACTCTGCATCTCAGCAAACATCGGTGAGTAGCAAGATGCTGAATCACAAAGGAGTACCAGAAGCCATACAGAAGCTCTGTGGTGTAACAGGACATTATGCAATGTTGTAGGCACCAGTGTGGGTAACTATTGAGCTCATGGGCTTAATGGACAGGCACAAAGTATACTTGGCTGACATTGAAGACCAGTGCATATTAGGATTGGGCTATTTACTACCGAGGAAGTGTGTAATTAACTTTGATAAAGTGACGATTGGGAACAACAAGGCCAAATTCCGATAAGTGTTGCTGCATCTGTTGATTTGCATGTCACAACACTTTAGTCAACTACAATACCCCTATGTCAGAGAAGATAATTTGGGGTAGAATAAAAGAACATCCCCAAGGAAGCCGAATGCTTGTGGAATCAGTGGAAGACCCATCCAGTCCAGCGGATGTTAAGATTAGAAGGTCACTTCTGGCAGGTCATCAATTAGTACCCATAACAGTGGCCAAATTTTCTAAATGTGAGCAGACACTTAAGGAAGGGGCATTGATGGATGTGTGAAAGGAGGTAGAGCCAGTCAATGTTAAGGCAAGAAATATGACCATAAAGAAAGGGCGTCCTCTCCCAGACCACTTAATTGACCTCTATAAGAAGAGTATAGTCCATTTGTTATCATCACAGGCTCTTCAGGTTAGGGAACATTTGGCGAATTATGCAAACGTCTTTTCAAAAGGAGATCATGACCTTGGCTGCACAGACCTCGTGGAACACAGAATAAAAACAGGCAATCACCATTTAATAAAGATCCCTCAGAGGAGAATAGCCCTGGCAAAGCGGCAACAGATGGAGAAGATCATGGATGGCCTAATTAAGGAAGGGATAGTCGAGAAATCAGATAGTCCCTGGTCAGCTCCCATCA